AAGGCCCTCCTGAGCTGCCCGATAGAGGTGGTTTGCGTGTTTTTGTGTTTGATCTTTGTGCGTACCACACGTCAGTTGTAACACGGGCGAGATTGTTGTAGAAACAGGAACCCGCTTGTTTAGTCTGTGTGTGTTACTGCGTGCGTTGCGGTCACTCGCTACTAAGTACCGTAGGTGACACAAGATAACACACCCCCTGGACCGATTTTCAAAGCTCGATTACTCCACGACGAAGAGGATGCACAAACGAAGCGATATATTTTCGAAAAATTCTCGACGAGACGGTTCCAACGCTGCCGTTTTCGGCGCTGTGACTCTTCCTGCTGTTGAGAAATCGAGCTTTGAAAATCGGTCAAGGGTGTGTGTTATCTTGTGTCATATACGGCAGTTTGGCTTCGAAGACGGACGGTTGTGTGAGCGTGAGACACGATCGATGTCCTTTGTTTGTTTGGCGGACATGGAGGAGCTGATTTGTCTTAACGTTTTGCAGAGCACCGGGCTCCTCTCATGTGCTTCACATGTAGACTCACTTCTTGGCGTTGGGACCGTTAATTTTGTGTTTTTCGTCTTCTTGCAGGACGTCGAGGAGCTCATTTGCTGGCACGAGGACTTCGATTCCAGGGAGTACACCCGCAGCAGCCAGCGCCACGCGGCGACGCTGGAGCATGGTCAAAGAGAGATTCGCTCCATTGTGGGGTCGGTCTTGCTGTCGCAGCTTCGAACCACCTACCATAACCACTTGGCTCAGGTGCGTACCGTATGTTCTTCTCGTCTGGTGGTCTGCGGTGATTTTTTTTGTTGAGAGTAGAGCGGCTGGAGAGCGGTGTGAAGCCGTGCTCGTTGATGGTCGTCGTTTTTGTTGTCTCGTACCGTACCGTACCGTACCATGGGTGGGAGCGGCTCTTTTCTGCTGGGTCGAAAACAAACAACGAAAAGGCCACGGATATTAGAAAGTACTGAGCGGAGACCGGAGTGATTTTAATGTGAAGACAAACAACAACGGATAGCTGCGAACCACCTGTTTACCACCACCAGTTGGCTTGGGTGTGTACCGTACCGCACTGTACCATGGGTGGGAGCGACGCAAGACACAGATGTTGGGGTTGGGCGGGTTCATCATGACGGCGAAAACGCTGCTGCTGCTGCTGCGTGGCGGCAGCTAGTGGAGGAGCTTGTGGCGCGGCGAGAATAGGCAACTCCTGTTGAGCATGGATCAGCAATGGGGGGGGAGGGCATCGGCAGAGACACAGCGGTGCTTCTTTTTGAGTACTGTACTACGCGAACTAGTCGTGAGAAAGGCTTGTGGGGTCTATAGGGGGTGGTGAGACGCGTCTAGACGTACCGCCTCTACCCGAATCGCCTCTACCCGAATTGTGTCCGTGTGTGTGCCACCCCCCCCCCCCCCCTGGGACAAGAAAAGGAAGGGTGAAGAAAAACTTTTGGGTTATCCTTTTGGACCGGCTAAAAAACGGAAAGGATATTGCTTTTTTCGGGGGGGGGAGGGGTGGGAGGGCCATGGGCTGTAAAAAAGCTTCGGGGTGGGTTTTACTGAAAAACCCCCCCCCCCCCCCCCC